AGCCACTTACAGAACTTGGGAGGGAGCTTGGGGAGGAGAAACGATTCTGAGGGAGGACGTGAGCGACATTTAGTCTCCCTTAGTCCTAGTGTCACCTACCAGCTCTTTTTAAACATCGTCCACGTCAACCGTGTCTCCCCCCCCCCTAAAGCCATGAGCGTCTTCTTTACAGTACATTCCCAACATTCTGATCCCCTGAATGTGGTGTGCTTTTGAGCCGTTAACGCATTTGTGTAGTATGATATATGCGGTGAAATGCGGTTCCCATTATCTCACTATATTAATGGAATTTTCGCTAAAAAAGGCTCTGTCATATAAAACGAGCTTATTTAGAGAGAGGACTTTATAGCGCTTTTGCCAACATTCTGATGTTGATGAAGAACTAATTGTAGCAGTGGTTTTTTTCTGTTGAAGAATATCTCTGGAATTTTTCTACACATTGGAAAACCACAAAGGAATTTTGGAGTCTGCATCGTTAAAGACACAGCTGAAAACACCCATTGTGCATTTAGCGCTCTCCGCCTTTCTGCTACTGGGCCGAAGGACTCAACTATTGGGAGACGGACTGCGGCAACTATTTCGGAGCAATTCTTTACTTCTGCTCATTCTATCTGATCATTACGTACATCGTCCTCAACGTGCTCGTCGGTAAGGAGTCTACCGCTATTGAAGAAGGCGGTAAGTATGTCTTCTCGTTTAGCCATCATTATGGAGAACTTCTCGCTGTTCTACTCGAGTGAGGAAGATGCCCTGCTTTCCTATGCTGACATTCGAAACTTCCAACAAGTTTGGAACTATGTCGATGCTGATCAAAAGGTGTGGATATCATTCAACTTTTCACTTGGGATCCCTATTTACACATTTATCCCTGAATTACTCAATTATGAGCTCCATCCCTGCAGTTCTCATGCTTCAGCGTTCAATTCCCACCCGTCGAGTGAAATTCCTCCTCCGCCTGCTCCGTGGGAGACTCGAGGTCGACCCGAACAAGGATCGACTACTTTTCAAGCATATGTGTTACGAGATGGAACGGTTGCACAATGGCGAAGATGTCTCGTTCCATGACGTGCTCAAGTAGGTTCCCCAAAAACCTTTTGAATACCCACGGTTACCCCTGTCGTTACAGCATGCTCTCCTATCGAAGTGGAGACATCAGGAAGAGCCTTCAGTTGGAAGAGTTGTTGCAACGCGAAGAGCTGGAATATCTTATTGAGGAAGAAGTCGCCAAGCAGACCATTCGTGCCTGGCTTGAAAGTTGTTTACGACGTATCAAGCAAAGGCAGCACGGGGTTTGTCACCTCATTTCCATTTCTATCATAGTCACAGTGGATTCAAAGTATTC